ATCGTCAAACATATATTTTATTCAAAAATAAAAACATCATCGCTTTCTCAAAATCACATAAAGCCATATTATAACATCGACTGAGATAAAGAATAAAATAAAATATTAAAAACACGATGTATCTCGCTGCATTGCGCAAGTACGCTTCTAGTATAATTTTTATAGAGATAATAATTAAATATATTGTTAGAAGTCAATGATTATCCAAATTATATTTTAGATTTTTTATATTTAATTTTATAAGGATAATTATTAAGTATTTTGTTAGAAGTCAATGACTATCTTAATTATATTTTAGATTGTTTATATTTAAAATAAAATATTTATTCTCTATTTAATTATGTTTATCATCTATTTAATTATGTTTATTTGCAGTTAGTTACATGAATTTTAACATGAAGTTTTAATAAGTTGTACTTACGTATAATTTACTTGTAATATTGAATTTTAAGTAATATGCATCAATAAATAATTAAATAGTACGTCATGTATAGAAATATTTTTTAAGAGTTTTGTCAAATGTTTATAATATAACTAGAAAGGTACTCGCGCAATGCAGCGAGATACATCTTGATTCTAATGTTTCATTTTATATTTTCGGTATATCGATGTTATAATGCGACTTTATGTGGCTTTGAGAAAAAAATGTTTTTATTTTTAAATGAAATATAAATTTGAAGATATTATAAAGTTTTGAAAAAAAAATACGCAATATCAGTATCAAGTTAACTATTTAAAAGTTCTTGTTTTTGTGTAATTTGTTTAATTCAATTTTTTATTAAAATTTAACTGAAGTTTAAAAGTTTAAAAATAAACTAATATATTTTTGGTTTAATAAAATAATTTATTTAAGATAATAATTGAGTATTCTGTTAGAACTCAATGATTATCATAATTATGTTTTGGATTTTTTACATTTAAAATGATGTTTATCATGTATTTGATTATGTTTATCTACAATTACTTACACGAATTCAAACATAGAGCTTTAATAAGATGTACTCATGCACATTTTACCTGTAATCTTGAATTTTAAGTAATATGCATCAATAAACAGTACTCTATACATAAAAAAATTAGTTTTAAAAGTTTTTAACAAATGTTTTATAATATAGTATAGATATCGATTACATAATTGATTTACATCCATGATTTACCTTTTATTTTTGTATTTAATAATAAATATTTAGATATTTAACTAACAAGCAAATATACCCTCCCAAAATTGCATATTTAATCAACATTACATTTATATTAAGACATAAGAAGATATAAAAACAACTTCAGGGTTGTTTGGTTGGTTTTTTATTAAGTTATCTATGAATAAAACTTTTGTGAATTAATCAGTCTATACAGATTGAGAAGATCTTTTTTGGAGACTTTTTTCATATATGGAAAAAAACTTGTTTTTTTTTAACGGAGAGACATTTTTGAAAAAACTTGGTTTTCAACATAAAACTTCTCCTAGAAACTTAGGGGAATAAGCCATTTTCTATATAATTAAGTCACTACTAAACAGTCACGTATAACTGATTGAATAAGTTGTGCGTCCCACTAAGCTGAGCTAAAGTAATATAAGTATAAGTAAAGGGACCAAAACTGTAAATTTGAAAATCTATAAGGAGTTTAAGTGTAATATTAATCCAAAATATAAAACTTTGGATGTGGATAAAGTCTACGGTAGTAGACTCAACAAATTCCGATCATCAACAATGGCAACCGTTTCGTCGTTCCCCTCTCCGCCGTGGCCAAACCCTAACCCTAACGCCGATCATCACTCCGACGATCACTCCGCTATAGCCACCACCGTCGACGGAGATCTGTCGTCACTGCTGCCGCCGATTAAAACGAACGCTACTCAAGAACAGCAAACTCAATACAATCACGAAGACGGCGATGGGAATGTTAGAGAATGGCTTAATCAGTTTCTTCCAGATAATGAAGATATTCACGATGTAACTCAATTATCTCAAGATCTGATTCCGGCGCCGGCTCCGGTTCCGGTTCATGACGCTACCCTCATGTCAAGCCCTCAGATCATGGCGCCTGATTTCCACGAACATGCTTCTCCTCCTTTACCTCTTTCGTTGCTCCACGTTTCTTTCAATCAGGATCACGGTTGTTTTGCTTGCGGGATCACTCATGGATTTAGAATCTATAACTGTGATCCTTTCCGCGAGATTTTCCGTCGAGATTTTGAGAACGGAGGCGGCATTGGGATAGTGGAGATGCTATTTCGTTGCAATATACTTGCTTTAGTTGGTGGTGGTCCCGAACCGCAGTATCCTCCCAACAAGGTTATGATTTGGGACGATCATAAGAGTCGATGCATCGGTGAGCTGTCTTTTCGGTCTGAAGTTCGTGGAGTTCGGCTGAGACGGGACCGAATTATTGTTGTTTTGGAGCAGAAGATATTCGTTTACAATTTTGCGGATTTGAAGTTGTTGCATCAGATCGAAACGTTTGCGAATCCGAAGGGGCTTTGCGAGGTTTCGCAAGGATCGAGTAATTTTGTGCTTGTTTCTCTAGGTTTGCAAAAGGGGCAAGTTAGGGTTGAACATTATGCTTCGAAGAAAACAAAGTTTATTCTAGCTCATGATTCAAGGATTGCCTGCTTCACTCTGGCTCAGGATGGGCATATGCTTGCTACAGCTAGCACGAAGGGAACTCTGATTCGAATTTTTGATACTCATGATGGGACGCTGTTGCAAGAGGTACGCCTTGATTTTATTTGTTAATTGAGAATTATGATCAAAACTGGTGAGTGGTAGGAACTTTGTCAAGATAATATTTGATTCGGCTATGCAGTTTTTTGAGTCTTAACTTGAGGAATTCATGGATATGATTACCATGTTTTGTCTATGTTTCTATAATTACACTTCGTCATGCTCAGAACTCGATCTTTAAGTGTTCTATGTTTGCAACATTACACCTAATTTATGGATTGTAGCTTTTTTTTTTGCAAAATATTTTTAAGCTTACCGAGTTTGCAGAATGCAACATCTTATCTTTCTTTTTCCTGCAAGCGAGTCTCTTTGCCCTGGTGCAGGAAAAAAAATGCTAAGTTCTTAATTGAGATTTGTATTGCCTTGGTCAGGAGTATTGTCATGGCCATTGTTATTGGAGCTAGGAATAGGGTTCACATTGCATGTATTTCAGATTGTATTTTGTTTTTTACCTGATATTTAATACCAACACTGGTTGTTGAATGGCTCATGAATCCAAATAGGCAGCAAATATAAGGAAATCTTGTACATTGTTAAGAAAGATTGAGTTATCATGTGTAAACAATATGGTGACGACAAATTAGAAGAACACTTGATCAACTGTTTCTATGAGCAAAATATGTTTGTTGCTGGTGTTCTTTTGAGGAAAAATTCATAATTGAGAATTGTATCTGAGGTTAAATGTTTAGGAAAAGAAAGATGACAAATAAGGATATGGATGTTGGTAGAAGTTTAAGAAATGAAGTGTCTCACTTGTGCTGCATCAAAGGAGTGTGAAAGAGAAGTAATGATGGATGTTTATATGGGAATAGTTTACTCAGGGGCTGCTTACATATGTAAGACAGTTTTCTTTACCTTTATGAAAGACCTACTGTTTGATTTGTTTCTCATAACAATGTAATCATCTAAATGCTTAGCTTCAATTGATTTATCAATTTAATAAAAAAAACATGCTGATTAAATTATAATTTCGTTTTTGTAGTAGACTAAAAGCAGTGGATTATTGATGCAGGTAAGGAGGGGAGCAGATAGAGCAGAAATATACAGTCTGGCATTTTCATCTACTGTCCAGTGGCTGGCAGTCTCAAGTGACAAGGGCACCGTTCATGTTTTCAGCCTCAAGCTTACTCAAGGAAACCAAGGCGTTGACAAGGCTATAGAATCATCCGACCACAGTGCCCCTGTTTCTTCATCAAGCTCATCTCTTTCTTTCATTAAAGGTATAGAAGACGGGGATAAGTTTATTTATTTTCAAAATTGGTTGGTTCTAAGTATTGGAAAAGTCAAGGTGTAGACTGAACAACGCTTTTTTGTTTAAGTACTCTGGTGCATTACTGGTTCATTGAAAGTTAAAATAGAATCACTCTTCTGACCATAAATAAGTTAACAAAAAGTACAGTGGAGTGGACGTCAGGTCTAACACTCCTTTCAAATCTCAGCATTACCTTTCTTGTTTTCAGAAAAAGAAAAGTTGATTGTCCTTTCTTCACAATCATTTTCCACACTACCCATTGGGGTGGAGGTCAAGTTTTCCTACATCTCACAGCCCCCTCCCCCCAACCCCACCCTACCTTCGGGTATGATATAATGGGTTAGTGTTTGGTTTTGGTTTTTGGTATGGATGATGTAATTCTATTCAATACCTTGTTGATATGGAAGTTTATAAAGATCATTCCATACTTTTGTGGCTCACATGAATTTTTATTTCAGGAGTATTGCCTAAGTACTTCAGCTCAGAGTGGTCAGTTGCTCAGTTCCGCTTGATTGAAGGTTCTCAGTACATTGTTGCATTTGGCCACCAAAAGAATACAGTTGTTATTCTTGGCATGGATGGAAGGTGAGTGACTTAAAACTTTTTCTTGATGGAATGCTTATGCAAGTTGCACCACTGATCATTATCCATTCCTGAAAAGAAAAATAAAGCCAACACTTCAACTTCAATAATCAAATAAGTTGGTTTGTGCATTTGAGACTGAACTGTCAAGAAAGTTTTGATGACTACATTAAACTTGATGACAGTCGTTAGGCATAGAGAAAAGTTGTTGGGGGTTACTAGATATGCTTATATTATATTCTTAGAATACAAAACCAATCCCAGTAAATCCCATGCGGATTAGGGTCTCGGAAGAGTATTATATTCAGACATTTCCTCTACTTCCACGAACCAAAAAAAGAAACGAGGGAGCAACGTACATGTGTGAGAGTGTGCAAAAAGTAACAGGAAAGGCAGCCGAGGAAAATAAGTTAAAACAATAGGAGGCATGAAAAGCGAGTAGTATTATAGTAGCTACAGGATGTTGAATGTGACAAGGTTTGTGTTCTATTGGTATTTACTTTATATCTTATAGCTCAGTTATGAAAGTGGGTTTAGAAATAAAAATAAAGGTTGATTACATAAAGTAGCTGTTTAGGCTAAGACTATGGTATCTTTTCTGTGAAAGTTATTATTCATAACTTTTTTAAGTATATAAATAATATTTTTAGATATGGGGCATATCATATACAAACTCAATATTCGTTACAAACCTACAAACTCGTTTTCATGTGTTCTTTCATATGTGAAACATGCATTGTTCATAAATTCATGTAGTGCTGTTTTTCATATATGAAACTTTCATTCTTGTTTTACATGTGGAAGAAAACATCAATATATGTTTCACATATAGACACACACACACACACACACATACAAGCTCATAAACACACACAAGAATAGAACATGTGAAACAAAATGAATTATAGCCTAAAATCAAACTCATTAAATAATTTGGATTCATTTCCATGGATTTGTAACAAACATTGAGTTTGTATTTGATATTCTCTCCCTCTCATATATATATATATATATATATATATATATATAGGGATCGGTTCAGATAAGAAGGCTAAATATTGTGGGAAGGTAAGATGAGAAGGCTCATATGTGAGTCATTGATAAAATCCATTTGAAGATGCATATGTGAACCCATATGAATAATCTGTAACATGAGTTTATATATGCATCTTCAAATGGACTTTTTCCCAATTTTTGCAGATTCGCATATGAACCTTACTTTCTTACCTGCTCATAATATTTAGCATTCTTATTTGAACCTCCCACTATATATAGGGGCAGATTCCAAGGAATTTAAAATTGATTAGTAACCCTAGAATTGCCCATAGCATGACACGTGGCATATTCATAATTTATGAATGTGTTATTCATCATGAATATTTATTTTGAAAGAGGGACATGTAACTCTTTGGCCGGTTCCCAGGTTGCTTATCAATTTCAGGTTTCTAACAGAACTTTCCCCTCTCTCTCTCTCTCTCTCTCTCTCTATATATATATATATATATGTATGTATGTATATATGTGGCAAATAGTACTCATGCAAACTCCTCATCTTTGTTGAGATTTGAAGCCTTAAAGTCTATTATGCATAATAATATTATTGGAGATTGAATGGGGTTGAGTCTTGTTGGGTGCAGTTTCTATAGATGCAAATTTGATCCTGCAAGCGGTGGGGAGATGACGCAACTGGAATATCATAATTTCGTGAAGCCTGATGACTCTTTGACGTCTTTGTAAAAGCAATTAGCTATATAGAGTTGTATATGTTCTGGTAAGTAAATTCTATGATATCTAGTACTTGCTAAAAAGTGTATTATGATTATGATTATGATTATGTATATATGATCCACGACACGTAACTTGTAAAACGCTTTCTTTCTTAAAAAGCAGTTGTAAAGAGTCTGAATGGGCTGAAATCTTTAAAATGCAAGGCCATGGGGGTTTTTGTATGTATACATAATTAAAGCTTAGGTTTTGAATGGTTATTGTCTCGTTTAGGTAACAAAAACGTATTTAATGATATAGGAATGGGGAAATCGACCAAAATAGCCAATCTCTTTCATTTTTTAGCCACTTTTAACATCAAATTCCAATTTTAGCTAAAGTTTTCGCAAATGCCGTGCAGATTTGCGTTTTGCATAAAGCCCATTTTCAGATTAAGAAAAGGAAAAAAAAACTCTGTAAATTGGGTGAATTTGTTTTTCCTTTTACAATCGAAAAACGTGTAAAAAGTAAATTTGATCGGGAAGATTGCTGTTTTGATCGATTTCACGTAGGAATGGACCACACACCAACCACACAGCTTTTAGCAAGCAGCCAAAGCCAATTCAATGCTCGACTCTGACTGGGTCGATATATTCGTCGATTGTTTCTTTCTACTTTTATTTATCCATCTTGACATGACGGATTGGAATTTGGATAAGTTTTTAGAGCATTTTAATTCAATCTTCCAAAATGGAGATTGTGAGGGTTTTTTTTTTGTATTCAGGAGGTGTTTGGGATTGTTTATAAAAACGATTTATCGATTTATTTCGGTGTGACATTGGTAATAAACATTTTTGAGTGTTTCGATAAACAAATTATACCGGTGTCAAACCGGTAATAAGGAGTTTTTAAAAAAGTTAAACTCTTCTGACTTATAATAAGTTGATAAGTGATTTTGTAAAAAAAAATAAATTGTTTCAAATAAGCAATTCTAAACATCCTCTCAAAAAATTATTCTAAAAGCCCCGTTTTGTTTATATGGAGGGATTTTGAATTGAATTCTAATCGCGTGTTTGAAAATTTGGATCTAGAAATTTTATAGGCTAAGTTGGTATTTCATGAGATTTCATAAATTTTGTTTTTAATTTTTTTTATAAAAATACGTTTTAGGTTGATGCATGGACGGACCGAATGTAGAGCATACAGTGGCCCATGCCACCGTATTGTTTATTCGTCATAGTGTCGTGAAAAGCGCTACCGTATATAATTTTGAAGCTACAATGAGAACACGAGTTTTTATTGGTAGAAGTGACTTGCAAGACTTTTTCTTCGCTCGAAACCCAATTTTGAATCCTATTAGCGTCATTTTCTTTAGTTTCTAACATTTAAATTTCGATTTATTATGTTTTTGAAAAGAATAATTGCAATAAAAAAAACTTTAACATAGGACCTCACTCACATATGAAAAACAATTAATTAACTAATAGACCAATGATGATTTTATGAAAAATATCTTTATATTTATTTCTTATAGTCAAATGTTATTACCATTTGAAAAAAATAGGGTTCGTATGGATTACTGAACATGTATTTGGATATTTCTTTTGTAATAATTCACTAATATTATTTTTATAATATGATTTTTTATAAACAATGGAATCAATTCATTTCAAATCTTATTTAATTCAAATTCCAAATTTCTTTAATTTCAATAAAAAAAAATCTCAAAAAAGGATTCCATTCAACGAAACGAGAATTTGAAATTGGAATGGTATTGAATCTTTTGTATTGTGTTTGGTTCATAAAATTTGAAAGATGGAATTAAATTTCAAATTTTATAATTATAAAAATAATTAAATTATCTTTTATTTAACTTAAATATATTTTAAAACATTATTATTATATAAAACTCTCATGAAATACCAACTGTAAGGACGAAAATCGTAATTTCTAAAGCATTAGAATAAAAATCTTAATTTTTTACAAATTATAAGGACTAAAATTGTAATTTGCTCAAAATAAAAGTAAATAGCTTTGGCACATGCGTATACCGTCCGACATCCTCCTTTGATGCAACAAAAATCCCATTTCCTTCTTGTCGTATCCTATCCTTAAATTCTCAAAAAGCAATTTAACGAGTAGACTTCCCATTTCCCATAAATATTAAACTTAAAATTTTAAAAATATTTGATGGTTTTCGACGCGTCTTTGACCCGTTCACGTTTTTATGTTGACTTTATTTCAACATCTCAAGCGCTCGACAAATATCTGTATTTTGTGGTTCTTGTAAGAGTTACGGTATTTCGACAGTTGTATGGTTGAAGCAGTATTTTTCAAAAGACTTTTAATAAAGAAGGAAAAAAAATGGCTTTTGCATAATGTCATATCGATTTATTTAGGTTTATGGTGATGATGAAAGACGTATATAGATATGTAATGTGAAATTGTTGTGGAACGAAAATGAGTGTAATTGATGGAGGCTTCTTACTGATTCTCCAAATCAGATAAGAGTAATAGATTCACCTCCGAAAACGAGAATCGTTCACTAACTGAAGGCTAGAAAGAGATGTCGTGTGTGTTTTTTGAGCATAAGAAATGTGGCATGCATATGTTTTGTTAAACGACACCAACAAATGATTAGTGTATTCATGATCACTGTCTTTTAAGTTATTAACGAATTACGAGTTCCCTCTTTGTCCCTGAAAGAAAAAAAAAATCCGTCACTAACCACATCAACAAATAATACTGAATTGGATACCACATCAACATAATAATCGGTTAATGCTTCAACCGGTTACTCGGATACTTAAATTTTCAAAACTGTACATCTTAGTCACCAAAATGAAATTTTGAAAGTACGTTACTCAAAATAATAATCAAGTTAAAATACGTTACTTTTTCATACAATTTACCCCTATTTAAAAATGAACTTGTTCTTTTCTTTTTGTTACTATTATTTGCCCATAGCTTTTAGTTTATATTACTTTTATAAAGTCATGTCATGGTCAATATTTTTTTAATACAAAAAATTAAACTAACAACTGAAAATTTGATTTTCTTCAGCTAAAAAAAAGGTTTAATCAGTCTTTTTAAAACAAAAAAAAAATGAAAATCTAAATATAACTGATAAGGTAAGACGATATTATAAAATAAATATATCAAAAATAATTTATGTCGTAATAAAAAGAACTGAAACTGGATAATATCTGATTTTAAAAAAAAATTATCGAAAAAGCATTTCTTTGAAGTATATCTTTCTCCATTATACAGTTAAAGAGAAAATATTAGGTCTTACGACTCGTTACATCAACAAAAGTATACACATTCACATGTTAAGCGAATCTGGAAACCGAATCTCCTTTTCGAAACATCGCGAAGCTCTGAATGTGATAGGAATTTCTTTTTATGAAAAATACTGATATAAATGATAATATTATATATTATTTAAAAATATAATATTATTTTATTTCTTGAAAAATAGTTTTATGTGTGTCTATATGTATCCACATGTCAACCCTTCATGGGATATTTTGCTTAAAGTTAAATCACTTTAAAATAAAATATTTTATATAAAAAAAATATGAAATTATTTTAAAAAATTGGATAATAATGTTAAATTTATTTTGTAAAGAAAATAAGTATTTAATATTTAATATGAAAGCTATTTATTATTTTATTATATGTCTGTAAGTATTGGGTTACTGAGAAGGAGGTTTATCTGAGAATTCAGTTAATTTGTGAGAAAAGACAGATAACATGTGATACAACACGTATAAAAGGATGTGAGCGACTCAACACGACCAAGGTCGCGTGAAAACTCCCCTCGCGTAATGGCTGGTCAACGCGACGCGTCTGTATCATCACATGTGATTCTACCCTATAATCACATGTGATTTTACCCTACAATCACATGTGATTTAGCTTTTCTTGCACTTTTCGTAAGTTGACCGTCTTCATGTTTGAACATGCCTCAACCCTCCTAATATTACATTTATTTTGTAAAATGTTAATTGTTTAATATTTAATATGTAGGCTATTTATTAGTTTATTATATGTTATGAAAATGTTCACTGTTTTTTTTACGAACGGTCAACACAGTGGTAAAAATTGGGTATCATGGTTCAAATGATTGATTACTTGTAAAAAACGTATTATTAGAAATATACAGATACTTACATAACAGTATGTACAACGGTCGTATGTTATTCCCCTCTAGAAACCATGATGTTTGTGAAACCGAATTGAACTCGAAATTTGGTAAACGGCCCCTAAGAAATATAAAAAGATCGATTTGTTCATATGTTTTTCGGTTCAGACAAGTCGCATTAGAAATTGACAAAATATAATAAAAGATATATAAAGAAAAAGAGAAATCATATATTTATATTATATATCCATGCATATCATTCGACTTTTTGCTTCGATTCGATTTAAATACATCAAATAAAAAACTCCAAAGGAAAAACCAGATATCAACCATAAGGGTGGTGTCTGATTGGTTTGAACTTAGGCTCCAAATGTCAAAAGTGTCTGGAGGTCCCCATATGCGGTGACTCTAGGCTATTTGGAAAGCAGGTGGTCGCCCTAAAATTAGTCAACTCGAGTTAATAAAAAGAAACCGGAGATCAAATTCGGTTTGGATTATAACCAGAGCAAAAAAAACCATGAACCAAATCGAATTTCTGAATCTTATTTTTCGGTTTTCCAAATTTAACATGAATATTAAACACCCGTAATTTAAAAAAAAACCCGACGTAAAAGAATTTGATGATCAAAATCTAGAAATTCATGATAAGTAACAGTAATTCAAATTAAAGAGTTTTTGTCTCTCACATATCCAGTTGCCCCATCGTTTCTTTATAACCTGTTGTACTTTTTGCAACTTCTATAAAAATGCTTCATTTTCAACAAATTTTATCTATCCGCAACGAGCTCAAACTTCCTTCTAACATGCACGTTCCTCTGAAAAGATACACTCGACATGCATAAAAAAACCAAAACCTGAAGCTCGACCTTGGCCCAATCCAAAAAAACCCGAACCTTGTGAGCCCAGAGCCCGGTCTAAACCTCAAAATTCGATTAGTCTGAAATTTTAGGGGCAGGTGTGAAAAAGTCCGATCGACTCCTTTTTCAACCCCAAAACTCAGCCAGCCCGCCCCAAACCTATAAATGTCACGAACTTTTTATATGCTCACTGAAAACATGCTCGGAAGGCACAATTCCAGACCTAAAAAAAGCCCAGACGTTATGCATCTCTAACATACAGTACGGTGGAAATTCTTTAGTAGCGTAAATTAATATGAAAAAAAAGTATATTTTAATAGATAAAATCAAAAGTTAAAAAGGGTTTAAAAAAGTAAAATCCCCACTTTAGAAGGCCCAAACAAAACAACTACCTAAAAGATGATGTGTATTCCACAACAAAACATAAAGCATCTACCCTATCCTAAGTGGGCCCTTATTGGGCTTCTTTGTGGGCCACCACACTTGCTTGTATTTTCCTATAAATACACATCAATATTCTCTGTACACCTTCACTATCTTCATCAATATTTATCTGTATACCTTCATATATTCATCTCGATACACATATCAGAATCACAATTCGGTTCGACGATGAAGCCTCAACACATCTCTAACGATACCTCTATGATTCATGAGTGTAAAAGAGTCGGAGAAAGACTCCGTCAAGCCTTTCAAGCTACTGTAATGGCTGCCGACAGTCAAAATGGAAGTATAGATTCAGAAAGAAGAGTTCAGTATGCTAAAGAAACCAATAGACCGAAACGAAAAATGAATGTGGAAGATCCAATGAGAACGATCATGTTCCTGGGGTCGTGGAGTCATACATAGTTACGGCTTTTGTTGTTTGTATATTGATGCAAGTCGTGTATTATATGACTTTGTTAATTGACCGATCATGATTTATTTCATTTAAGAACGATGGAATTCATGTAAGTGTTTATGGTTGTAGGTCATGGGAATTGTTAATGAAACAACAAATTGCTACTACTTTTTTGATTGGCTGGAATTTCTTTACGAATCTTTTTTTTTTTTATCTATAATTATCTGTTCTAATACAGTTTTTATTAGGAGTTGTTTGGTAGTTGCTGAATGATTTGGTATAGAATGATTAAGTGGTCGGAATGATTAAGAAGCTCTCATGATATAATGCAATTGAAATATATTGTTTTGGTAATTGTTTACGATGAAATTAGGGCGTTGAATGGTTAAGAGATGCCCTATGATGTAAAATCATTTAGAGGATTTTAGAACCATTAAGAGACATACTTTTTTTTTTCCAAACAGGATTCACATTTTAACGATTCAAATACTGTCTCTTAATGAAACTATTAAGAGGTAAAAGAACAACTCCTAAATACATGGTTTTCCTTTTGTAAAATATAATTGAAACAAAGATAATGGTTTTAAAATGTAAAAGGTAGATGTTTGAGATTGCTTATTTGAAACCACTTATAATTTTCTACAAAAGCATTTATCAACTTATCTATGGAATTCATGATATAGAGTAAAATGAAATATATTGTTGGGTAATTATTTGCGATGAATTAGGACGTTAAATGGTTAAGAGAGACCTAAGATGCAAAATCGTTTTGAGGAATTTAGAATCATTAAAAGATATATTTTTTTTTTTCACCAAATAAGATTCATCTTTTAATGATTCAGAGATTGTCCATTAATGAAACTATTAAAAGATAAAAAAACAACTCCTAAATACATGGTTTTCCTTTTTTAAAATATAACTGAAACAATAGATAATGGTGTAAAGGGCTATTTGGGATTGTTTATTTGAAATAACTTATGTTTTTCTACAAAATCACTTGTCAACTTATTATAAATCAAAAGAGTTTAACTTTTTCAAAACATCCATATTACCGGTTTAACACTGGTATAAGTGGTTTATCCAAACACTCAAAAGTACTTGTTATCGATACCAAACCAAAATAAGTTAATAAGTTATTTTTTAAACATCTCAAACACCCAAATTCGTGGATTTGGATAGAACCCGAAGGAATTGGATTTTCCGATTTACAATTCCACGGCAAATCCCTAGGAATACAATTCCATTCCGACAAATTCGTTGCCTAATCCAAGTTCACTCAACGCTGTGTCTACCATCTCCTCTAGTCGATCTCTTTGGTTCGATCACTGATCTGGTATGTTCTCTCTCATGTAATTTCTCCATCCATCGATAGACAACATATGTAATCAAGAAATCGATTCATGAGATCCGTTATGCTTGGAAAAAGTTGCTATCGATATCACCAGTCCCACTCCATGTATCGATAATTCTTGAAATCGAACCCCCAATCGAATGGAATTAGGGCACCGATCACTTCTGTCAAAGAAATTCCATTGTAAATGGATTGTTGCATTTGTAGCTATCACTAATCTGTATGATCATTTGTAGCAGCATAGGGTAGATGGTGGCTGCACAAAATGATCATCAGCTCTGTATTTTGGCCAAGTATTGCCAGAGTTGTCTATAGCATTTTTGTTAAGTACATCAATGTGATGCACATGGTTATCAGGAAAGAGCTCATTGAGTACATTATGTGATCGTTCTTCAGTTAAAAAACATTGGATGATATTTTTTTTTCTATATATTTGTATCTATATACATATAGTTCAGCATCCAAGGACACATGTAAACATAAAATTTGGAATTTATTGATGTTTTCAGGCATTGATGGTAAGAGATAATTGATGACAGAAGTGTCTATTAACATTTTTTCTGTTGTTCAGAGAACAACCTAATGACAAATTTAAGAGAGAAAGTCACCCAGTGAAATCTGTTATGTGAAAATTATACATAAAAACAAAAAGACTGGAAAACCTTGACATCCCTACTGGAAAACCTTGACATCCCTCCTCTCAAATGCTATTCCACTTCACCATACATGTTTAACACTTAAATTATACATCAAAACAAAAAGATTTGTAAACAAGATCATCCCATTCCATACTAAAATCATCTTCCAAGATGAATAAATAAATGGAAGAAAGCAATACCAAGATACCTATTTAGTCTACTATACTAGTCACCAATCAATCTTTTCAAACCATAAACAACAGCATATCCCAATCCTCACTTGTATTACAAATCTGCTTTGCAGCAAAGGAATCTCGCATCAATCGAGTATACTTGCAGGCAACTAAGAAGAATCAACAGCACAAGACCAAATCCTAATCATGTGTGCTTTGGTAGTCATAAGAGAACATAAACTAGCTTAATTTCTATATACTTTAGGTTTGAGGGTGCGACTGTGACTATGAACTATTGCCACAGCAATTGAAAGAGGAAGTCCCCTGCCTACAAGAGTGGTTTCATCTAAAACTGTTTGCCACTTTTTTTTATATTCCCTTGTTCTTCCTAACATCTGATTTGAAGTATGCATACCCCCTTGACTATGATGCCCAGTGGCACATAAGCTAAACTGAGTCTCCGTAATTTCTGTTCCAAATGGATAGAGTGTTACTAAATATGATATATAAAAATGCTCATCCACGTGAGTCTATAAACATCTTACAATGCCAATAAAACAAATTTTAACTCTGTTAAAACATTGTCTTTGAATGCTAAAACATTTGGCAAGACGTCGTACTTAGAAAGCAAAACAATTGCTTCACCGCTATTACAGCTTAGGTTTTAAGCTGCTAACGACAGGCCCTTAATGAGTTATTCATTATGAATAACCCTAAAAAATTCATGAATATCATGATTTCCAACATCTATTCACAATATTCATAATGAATAATATATAAAAGTTGGGTGTCAGGTTCTCAAAATATTTACGGTTGTTCTTTGAACCTGCCCCTACCTAGAAGTTCTTTACAAGTAACATATCTGAAAATGTACAATTTTTCTTATTTTTCATTTTCCATTTAGATCCCATATAATGATACATCTCATGTTTTGCTGCAGGGTTAGTGGATCTCGATATCCGAGTAGTTATCATTATGGCGTTGCCTATAGATCATAAGGCCAACATCATTGACGGAAAAGCAATCGCACAAACAATCCGTTCTGAAATAGCTTCTGAAGTCAGTATTTTGACCGAGAAATATGGCAAGGTTGGAAAATCTTGAATTTCATTTGCATTTCTCGTTTTACTAGAGATGGCAAGTTAGAAAGTGTGACGGAAGTCTGGCGTATGGTTCACATATTCCGGAGGGATCTGATGGAATTGGAATGTTTGAATTCCCTTGACCAAATTGCATTCCCTCGTTCGGTTCATTCTTTTTCAGAAAAGGAATCTTCAAAATCCAATGAATTCCGCAAAATTTGAACATTTCTTGGCAATAAGGTAGTATTTTGATGGAATGAAATGTTATAATTTCATAATCCTAAATATACCCTTAACCCTAATGTGATAAAACAACCTACACTGCTCATTCACTTTGATTTCTCAACAAAGGGTATTTTGGTCATTTACCAATATTTCATTCCAATCCCGAAGCTACATTATGTGAACCAAACAGACAAATTCCAATTCCTTTAACAGATTCCATTCCAATGTTTACCAACCAAAAAGGTGGCCAGACCTGAGAGCATTCCATTCCAATTCCTTCAAAATCAAATTCCTTTGTCAGATTCCATTCCATCCAAAAACATTCTGCGAACCAAGCGCCGGCTTAAAGAATTTTTTTTAGCGGTCAACGTTTAACTAGATATCGAATCCCAAAGTGTAACTTATGATTCCACAATCTATTTTCTTTCAGGCACCGGGACTTGCTGTAGTCATCGTTGGACATAGAAAAGATTCACAAAGCTACGTAAATATGAAGAGAAAAGCGTGTGCCGAGGTTGGAATCAAGTCTATTGACATAGACCTTCCAGAACAAGTACCCGAAGCTGAGTTGATCGCAAAGGTCCATGAGTTAAATGCGGATTCCGATGTGCATGGTCAGCAAATTATTAGTATATATGAAGTTTACTTTTATAAAAAAAACACCAAAACCAAACAAACTCTATAAATCCCACTAAAAAAAGGTTTTTTTTGGGGGCGGTGGGTTGTTGAGCTATAAGTAGATCTGACCTTTACCCCAAAGAGTAAATGAAGAATGATATAAAACTGGTCATTATTTATTCCTAGGGTGCGTTTGGTACTCGGACAGGACAAGACAACACAACTGTTCAGTGTTTTGTAAGATAGGACTGGACAAAACAGTACTAGTAAAATTACCAATTTACCCCTAATGAGTTGTTTATATAGTTTCTATATTTTGGTTAATTTATGCAATATATTTAAATTATAATAAAATAAGTATTTTTTATAACAAAATATATCATTAGAAAGTTTTTGTCAAGACGATTAAAGTGACATCAGAATATGAAGTTTATTAATATCCAGTTTTTATTTGATTCCTTTTTTATATTATTTTATTACTATTAATATTTAATAAATTACATAAATTAACCAAAATATAGAAAACATATAAAAATAATATTTTGAGGACGGTAAAGTGAAAGTTTATAGAGGATAAAATATAGTAATCTTTTTTAAAGAATGGATAAAATGTAGAGAGGGAGACGTATTTGATGTTTTAGAAGATAATTGGGTTTTATTTTGAGGGTATATTATAATATAGGTTTGTTCCAACGGGTGGGGGTGGAACACGTCTGTCTCACTTTGTTCTTGTCTGTTCCACATAAAAGTAATGCCAAACGTGGAATAGTGATTCCTGTTCTGTCCTGTATAGTGTACCAAACGCACCCCATAATGATTGATGTATGTTTTCATGAATTAAAGATGAGTGGAGAAGTCACTAGAAACTACGTGTATGACCTTAATACCGTATGCTAGTCTTACCTCTTCTTTCTGTATTAATAGTTGTCAGTGTTGTGCTTTGTGTTTCCTTGATTGTTTTAACATATTTTCCTCAACCTTCCCTTGTTTTTTTGTAAATGTTACCCGTTGCTTGTTTGCACACACTCTTACCAGTAATTTGCTCTCTTGTGTCTTTTTTGTTTTACAAGTCGTGGGTCTTCCCAGAAACAACCTCTCTACCCCAAACTCTACCCTTTTGGGGTAGAGAAAAGGTCTGCTTACCTCTTATCCACCCCCAATAGATCTTACCTGTGGGATTTACCTATTTACTGGGTTCATTTGCTTTGGTTCGGTTTTTGGAGAAGTATACCAACCTTTTTCTTACTGATGCAGGCATATTGGTTCAGCTTCCTTTGCCGAAACACATAAATGAAGAAAAAGTTCTCACTGCAATTAGCATCGAGAAGGATGTAGATGGTTTTCATCCTTTGAACATCGGGAAACTTGCTATGAAAGGCCGAGAACCGCTCTTTCTTCCTTGCACCCCAAAGGCAATAACATTTAACCTTGGTTTTTTAGAAGTGTTTTCCTTTGTTTAATTTCTTGCATTAAAATGTCATAAGCTAGAGTAAGATTCATTTAGCCCTTTTCTGTGTCTCGCATCTGGATGTGTGCGTTTAGTATGTGGGACTGGATTGGACATAACTGAACATAACAAAAACTTGTTTCACGTTTGGTGTGACAATTAGACTGGGACCAGACATGACTGAGGCCCTGTCTAGTCCCGTCCACGTACCAAACGCACCCTATGGTTTTAGAAGAAAATATATGGTTGTCAGTCCGGTTTAGAAGTTAAGTTGAGACCAACAAAACGGAAAATACGAAAAGAAATGGTATAAACGAATGGAAATTAAATCATTCATTTCACCTTCCAACAGGGATGTATTGAGCTTCTTAAACGCAGTGGTATTACCATAAAGGGAAAACGGGCAGTCGTGGTCGGTCGAAGTAACATTGTCGGCTTACCGGTTTCACTGCTACTGCTGAAGGCCGATGCCACCGTTACCGTAGTTCATTCGCACACGGTGGATCCAGAAACCATCATTCGTGAGGCAGACATTGTCGTTGCTGCAGCCGGACAAGCTGTGATGGTAAGCATAGTTTGTTTACTATGATTTATGCCAGTAAGATTATTTTATTGAAAAGGGTATTTTAGGTACTTGCATGACATGCTTGTTGCACATTAGTCTTAGGGCCTGGTTGTTAGCAGCTTAATAGAAATCGCAACTTATTCGGTCAACTATACGTGACTGTTTGGTAGTGACTTAATGATATAAAAAGTAGCTTATTCAGTAAGCTTCTTTTGGGGGGGGGGGGACGCTTTATGCAGAAAGCTGCCTCTTCCAATTTAAAAAACACGTTCCTTTTACTTATGAAAAAGCCCTCCCAAACAAAAATCTTCCCAATCTATACAGACATATTAATCCACATAGACAACTTTATCCATACAGAACTTAATGAAAAACCAACCAAACAGGCCCTTAATGAACTTAATGGGACTAACAACTTATTTGGTCAGCGATACATGACTGTGTGGCAGTGGCTTATTCAGTAAGCTTCTAGGGGGAGTTTATCCAAAAAGCCAGTTTTTTCCAAACTTGCCCCTCCAACTAAAAAACACGATCCTTCCATCTATGAAAACCCTCCAAATCTATAGACATATTAATCCATACAGTCAGCTTTATCCATACAGGACTTTGTAGAAAACCGACCAAACAACCCCTTAGCTTTCCTTCGTCAACCCACATATGTTCTTGATGCATTGTCTACTAACCATACACGTTGCTTATTTACACACACTTTCCCCTGTAGCCTTCTTGCTTGTTTCTTTTCGTTTTTTTTGGGTAAATGTGGGTTTCCAGGCCAACTTACACACACCTGCTAATCTCTTGACCCTTGGGTGACCATAAATGGCCTAGAGTCATGGCAAGGAAACCTCCATGGTCACAAGGGCTTTGGCAGCGCCTGGATTCGAACCGAGGGAAGATGAGATTTCCACTACATCCCCTTGAACCTTAACCAGTACGCCACAAACCAAGTGGTTCCTTTCCGTTTTTGTTTTACAAGCTGGGGGTTTTCGTGGAAACAACCTCGTTACCCCTTAGGATAGAGGCAAGATCTACATACATCATACCCCTAGCAGTCCCAAAAGAAGTTTCCACATTTCTATAGTAGTTTGTCCCAGAATATGTGTTAATATCGTCTACTTCCCAATTCTACCCTTAATTATGAGATGGTGAAATTCATTACTCTCTATTGCGAAGGGTAAAATTGTCATTTAGTTAACTAACAATTGTAATAATTACACGTTTAAAACTGTGTGCCTTTTTCATCGTGGATATTTATTTTGGGACACACAGAGTATATGTGAAGCCACAGTTTTACGGATTATATGAAAAGATTGATGTTGAACGTTGGACCCTCGTCTCTTGCCTAATTTTTTTCTATTTGTCGAATCTTTCTAGATAAAAGGTAGTTGGATTAAGCCTGGTGCGGCAGTTATTGACGTGGGAACGAATGCAGTTGACGATCCTAGTAGAAAAAGTGGATACCGGCTTGTGGGTGATGTCGATTTCCAGGAAGCATGTAATGTAGCAGGATGGATTACGCCCGTTCCAGGCGGTGTGGGGCCCATGACCGTAGCAATGCTCCTTAAAAACACGTTGGATGGTGCCAAGCGCGTGATCGGGAAGTAAAAACAATATCAAATCGTTCTGGTTTTTATTGCAAGAAATCTGCAAATCATGTTGTAGTTTTGTTGAGCATATATAAGCTCATTTGATTTTGACTCTTTAAATGTATAAGAATCTTACTAGTTTCCAACAATATATTTTGATTACAATTGAACTTGGCTCAAGTTCGACTCGATTCGACAGCTCAATGAGTCATTTTGATGCAGGTTCGAGAAAAGACTCGTGTTTAAATAGTGTGAGGATCTTGAATATTATAGATTTATAGTGTCGTTTGGATGTGTAGCTCAATTGGTAAAAGGGTAGAGCAACTTTGTTCAAATACACATGTTTTATGCTTGAATCCTATGGGAGATGGACTTTGAACCCATACGCTAGCATTATCTGCCGAGTCAGCTCTGAAATGCCTCTTCCCATGGGATTCCCGGGAACGGGGTTTCATGTGGTGTCGGTTTGAGTTGCTGATAATCAACCTTTTGCTTAAAGTATGAATTTATGGTTGACGCAACAAATTTTAATTTTTCATCTTTTACATCTGTCTAAATCAACTTTTTGTTCAAATAAGATTTAAAATGAAAACAAAATTCAAATTTGAAAAAGTATTGGAAAATTAGGACATGTTAATATATGACTATTTGGTGGCAGCTTATTGATATAGAAAAATAAACAATTTATATCGGTGTCAAACCAGTAATAAAAAATATTTGAAAAAGTTAAATCATTTTAACTTATAATAAGTTGATAAAATAAAAAGTAGAATCCCAAACTCCCCCTGTTCACTAAGTTTTTAGAAAACTTCATGCAGTCAATTTTTTTCCTAAACTTTATCCATGCTAATAAAAATACCGTTTTATACCAAGAAAGGAGTGGATAAACGGTTGTGTTCCATGAAACCTCAATGGATGTAGTGAATTCCGTTCTCCGTCGTCACCACCACCACCGTCACTACTCCTTCTCCTTTATCACCACAAATCAATCAATATCCTCGCTACTCCTCCACCACCAAAAATCCACTTTAAATTCCTCGAAGAAGCCTCGTTTCCCCCAAATTTCTTGCTCATCTTCATCCTCCCCATCACCACCATCACCGTTGCCGGAAGTTGGTTCAGACACACCGGAATCTTGCGTCAACTTGGGTCTTGCCCTCTTCTCGAAAGGACGGGTACTTCCATTCATTTCTTCATCTTTTAATTCCGTCTCATTTCTATAAATTGGAATCCATTATGTTTATAAATTCATCCGATTGTATATGTTGGAATTGCCCCCTTTTGATTACCTCATTATTGGTGTTTCTAGGGTTCTTACAAATGGGTTTATTATAATTTGGGGATGGATTTTGAATGTCAAATTCTCTTAAAATGGATAAGAATTAGGTTGGATGCAATTCTAGGGGTGCAAACGAATCGAGCTTTTAACGAGCTACTCGAGCTTGAGCTCGTTTATCTTGAGCTCGAGCTTAATAATTCTCGAGCTCGAGTCCATCTTGAACACAAAGTAGAACTGGTTTAACTTAATGGGTCGAACTTCATAACACCAATGTTCGACACAGCTAGTGCTAAAACTCGATTGAGCTTTTCGAGTCTAGTCGAGTCGAGCCAATCCATTCTATCAAACATTTTGTCAAGCCAAACATGCTCTATGTTCATAAATCTTACAATAAAAATATAAAAATTATCAACCTCGAGTCTATCAAACATTGAACCTCCTATTCACTTTACTACCGCTTTTCTACATAATTGACTAAATAAGATTTGGAACGTAACACTTTAGCAACTTGCAAACTCCTTTTGTTATGAATATAATAGCCATAAAGTAGCAATTTCGCAAGTTGCTAAAGTGTTAATTGCGAAATGCTGACATGGCAAGCAAAACATTAGCAAGTTGCGTACGTGGCACTTCCACTTTGACGTTTCGCAAGTAGCACTTTAGCAACTTGCTAAAGTGTTACTTTATAGATATTAAATTCAGAATAAGTAGATTGCGCAAGTTGCTAAAGTGCTACTTGCAAAATGCTGACATGACAAGTAGCACATTAGCAAGTTGCATACGTGGCACTTCCACGTCGGCATTTCGCAAGTAGCACTTTAGCAACTTGCTAAAGTGTTACTTTATAGATATTAAATTCAGTTAAAAGTAGATTTCGCAAGTAGCACATTAGCAAGTTGCGTACGTGGCACTTCCACGTCGGCATTTTGCAAGTTGCACTTTAGCAACTTGCTATAGTGTTACTTTATGGATATTAATTAAATTCATGCAAAAGTAGATTTCGCAAGTTGCTAAAGTGCTACTTGCGAAATGCTGACATGGCAAGTAGCACATTAGCAAGTTGCGTATGTAGCACTTCCACCTAGGCATTTCACAAGTAGCACTTTAGCAACTTGTTAAAATGTTACTTTATGGATATTAGATTCATAAAAAGTAGATTTTACAAGTTGCTAAAGTGATACTTGCGAAATCTCGGCCATTTCGGCCAGTTGAGTAGAAAAGTGGCTATACAATGAATTGGGAGTCTAGAATGACTATTTTGGACATTTTTGTCTTCTAGAATGGCTTACTTGGTCATTGCTGAAGGTTATTTCAGATATTTTGATAGATAGTCGAACGCCCTTTTCATCTCTTAAAGAGTGATGGCAAGTAAGCAAAAATAACTTTTACGAAAAGCGAATAATATTGTAACATCATGCTACATATAAATATATATTCCAGGTTAAAGATGCTCTCATCCAATTCGAAACGGCGCTTACCTTGAATCCTAGTCCTATCGAGGCTCAAGCTGCACTTTATAACAAAGCTTGTTGTCACGCTTATAGGTATGCCGTTCGGTTTTCCTTTGATTGATTCGTCATTATGATCTATATTTTGCACACACTCTTTGCTACTTTTCTCACTTGTCGCCTTTGTGACTTTTGTTTTGCAAGTCGGGGTCTTCATGGAAACAGTCTCTCTACCCCTTGGGGTAGGGCAATGTCTACATACATCCTACCCCCAAACCCTACCTCTATGTGGGATATACTGGTTTTGTTTGGTAAATAGTTTATTTGCTTTAGGGGTTAAATTTATCGAGTTTTCTTCCATATTGTTGTCTCCATTTAGTGAATACCCATATAAATCGTTAGCTTTTCGCGTGTTATTGTCGCCCCTTCATGCTTCTTTCATCATATATCAGTCTTTGTTCCTTCCACCTATTTGCTCACACTCTTGAACAAGCTAGGGGTCTTCACGGAATCAGCCGCTTTATCCTATTGGGGTAGAGGTCAGGTCTGCGTACATCTCACCTTCCCGGTACCCTACTATCAAGTGGGATTTACTAGGTTGGTTTTGTTTTTGACGATATCATTGAATTTTTCACTTTTTTATCTCTTTGGAGGAAGAGGGGAGGGAAAGAAAGCTGCTGATTGTCTTCGCACCGCTCTTAAGGAATATAACTTAAAATTTGGAACAATTCTAAACGATCCCGACTTGGCCTCCTTCAGAGTTTTGCCTGAATTTAAAGAACTACAAGAAGAGGTTTTTCATTTGCGCTTTTGTTTCTTCTTTGCTTGCGGTAGTTCTTTCATAAAGTTTGGATTTTTCCGTTTGAGAGTTGGGATCATGTGAGAATAATGTTTTTTTGGTGAGAATCGTGAGAACACTTCTAAGCATTTGGATGATGGCTCACAAAAAAACGCGGACTTTCATCCACCTTCACATGCATGAATTTGTTAAAGTTTCAGTAATGGTGATACAAATAGGTATGCAGTGGTAAATGAAGGTGTGTGAATACACGTGGATGGTGGATGAAGCTCTGATGTTCTCACCAAAAAAGTTGTTTTCACTGAAACCAACCCCTTCCATTTGATTCACTAAGGGGGCGTTTTGTTTGACAAAATGTTTTTGAGGGATCTGGATTTCGTGGAAGGATTTGGAATCTTTAATGTGTTGGGTTTATAGGATTTGGAATGGAATTGAATTTCATTCTATAGATAATTTACAAAAACAAATTATAAATAATTGTAAAAATAATTAAATTACCTTTTATTAATTGATTGTTACAAAACAAGTGTTTTTTTAACACATTTTAAAACATTATTACCAATAAATTCTATGAAATTCCATGAAATACCAACTACCTCATGGGTTTTCTTAGCCCTCATCGGATTTCAATTCCAGAGTTCCCTTTAAACCAAACAAGGGACTGGAATGGAATTCAATTCCAAATCCCGCAAAACTAATAGGCCCTGAGGACCTGTTTGGTTTGGCGGAATGCTTTTTAGGGGTCTGGATTTCGTGGGAGGATTTGGAATTAGAAGGATTTGAAATCTTTGGTTTGTAGGATTTGGAATGGAATTGAATTCCATTCTTTATAAATAATTTATAAAAACAAATCATAGAAATAATTAAATTACCCTTTATTAATTGATTATTACGAAACAAGTGTTTTTAACATATTTTAGAACATTGTTACAAGCAAATCCTATGAAATCCGGCAAAATACCGATTACGCTCATGAGATTTCGAAATCCCATGTTTGTGGGATTTAATTGAAATCCTGGGATTTCAATTCCAAACTTTCCTTCAAATCAAACACGACTGTCAATTCCAAATCCTACCAAATCCCACGAACCAAGCGGGCCTAAGTGTGTATTTCAAGATTGATCAAGAATCAAAGTAACTTAAAGATGAAAATTATTTACAGGCTAGGCTGGGTGGGGAAGATGTAGGTTATGGTTTCCGAAGAGATTTGAAACTCATTAGTGAAGTTCAAGCTCCGTTTCGTGGGGTTAGAAGATTCTTCTTTCTGGCATTTACGGCAGCCGCCGGAATCTCGCTGTTCTTTACTCTACCTAGATTGTTTCTTGCTGTCAAAGGCGGTGACGGTGCTCCTGATATCTTGGCAACTTCCGAAAACGCCGCCATCAATCTTGCAGGTAGCACATTAAATCCTGAAAATGTTGTCATAACTATGCAGCGGCGGTTCAAATGAGAACCTGAGAACCAACTAGTCATGCTTCATTCATAATGAATATCATGATAGATGTTCATGATGAAAGTTATTCATGATGAATATGCATGATATTCATGATTATTTAGGATTATTCATCATGAATAATATATGAAATAGTGATAGATGTATATCGTGATGGATAATATTCATAATGAAAATGCATGATATTCATGATTATTTAGGATTATTATGAATAAATAATAAATGAAATAGTTGATTCCTAGGTTCTCAAAATATTTATGGTTCTCGTTTGAACTTTCCCCTAACTATAACCATTTCAATCGGCAATTTGCAGGCATTATAGTTTTTGTGGCGTTAATTATTTGGGATAACAAGAAAGAGGAAGAACAACTTGCTCAAATAACCCGAGATGAAACACTATCACGGTTGCCCCTGCGCCTCTCAACTAATCGGGTGGTTGAACTTGTGCAATTAAGAGACACCGCTAGACCCGTTAGTATTCGAATTTCCTTACCACTTAGAGTTATCGTGTTCTCCTTCCGGTTTCAAGAAAATTTATAGAAGCTTTCACCTAAAAAGCTTTTTTAGCCGATTTTTTATGGGAAAACAATGTTTTGATCATGGTGTTTTTCCGATTCTCACAATCTGGTCACCAAGCACTACAACAAAATCGGGTTTATAGTACGCCAACAATTTATAGGTGTCCTAATAGACCGCTTTATGGACCAAACACGCGATAAAACATCTTATCTAAAGGTCTTGTAATGAGTTTATATGGTGCTTTTGGGCATATTAAGAAGTTTTTAGGACATTTTTAGTACAAAGCGTCATATTAGCTATTTTATAGGACATTTTTGATGAGTGTCTTATAAACACATCTTTTTATAGGACATTTGTTTTTATAAGACACTTTTTCAAATAATGTCGTATAAAATTAGCTAATACAACTTATTTATTTATTTATAAAAATGTTCTAAAAAACTTGTTATGACACCAAAAAAACGTCATATAAACTTATTACAACGCTTTTAGAGAGAACGCTTTATTGGTTGGTCCTATAGATTCTCTTGTAAAGCAGCTTATTAGGACGCTTAGACATTTTTGGTGTCCCGTAAACCCAATTTTGTTGTAGTGAAAGGTTAAACATTCAGTGATTTACTCGTTGTGTTTTAGTTTCCTTAGGGTGCGCTTGGTACGCTGACTGGACTGATTGGACTGGACTGGACTGGACTGGACTGGACTGGATTGACGTTAGTGAGATAGGCGGAGTGAAAGAATTGTGGAAGGTTTTAGGGTTTTAATTTGACATTAGTATTTCACTGATTTCCCAATCTTGTCTCATCTCCTTGATTTTTGTTCCACCTATTTTGATTGGACAAAAAATGCATTTTTGTACTCAGGTCCTTTCCCAGTCTAATGTCACAGCAAATGTAGGACAACAAGTTTTTGTACTGTCATGTCTTGCCCTGTCACAAGTACCAACACGTCCCATACAGGACTAGACTGGACGGACAAGAGTGAGGTAGGCAGAGTGAAAGAATTGTGGAAGGTTTTAGGGTTTTAATTTGACATGGATATTTTACTGGTTTACCAATCTTGTTTTTATCTCCTAGTTTTTGTTCCACCTACTTTGGTTGGACAGAAAAAGAAATGCATTTTTGTCTTATTTAGGTCTCGTCCTGTCCTTGTCTAATGTCACATTTAAGGGTGTTCAAAAAAACCGTTGGATCGCTCAAACCGGTCGAACCAAGTCAAACTGGACCATTTTTGGCGGTTTGATCGGTATGACGGTCCGATCCGCTCTGAAAAATAGCCAAACCGCTCGGTCTGGTTTGGTTTACGGTTTGAACGTTTTCTTGAGCGGTCTGGACCGAACTGACTGCCAAAAAACACATATTAATTATATTCAGTTTTCATGTTATAACCTCAACTTTATGACACAATTAAAAAAAGTTCATCCAAGACGTCATATTTTTAGTTTTCACTTTTCAATTCTCAATTGACCACGTCATTTAAATTGGCAAAATCTCGAATTCCGTCCAAAATCAAATCCAAATCGTCATTTGACTTGGTCAATATTTATCCAAAATTTCCAACTATTGTCAGTGGATTTGTTTAACCTTTTTTCAACTTGCTCAATGTTTTTTAGTTATAGACATAGATGTACCTTTTATAATTCGGTATCCTATTTTTTAAATAATGTTATATTGATAGAAATTTCATTTTGAATATCGATGTTATGTTTTTTTGGTATAAAGCCCATAAGAGTTCAAACCGCATAAACCGGTCAGACCAGACTGCCTTTTTGTGGTCCGGTTTGATTGGTTTGGTCACTTGATACCTAACCGCTCGGTCTAGAAAATTTCCTAAACCGCCATTGCAGTTTGTTTTGTGGTTTGGGGGGTTGACTGCAAACACACCTAGTCCCATCCTGTCCCATGTACCAAACGCACCTTAACAAGCAAACCGTTACCAAATACATTTTGATGTGCGAAGTTCTTTGTGATTTTGAATCAAGGTTATATTGGCGGGGAAGAAAGAGACGGTTTCTTTGGCGATTCAAAAAGCGGAGCGGTTTCGAATGGAGCTCCTTAACCGAGGTGTTATACTGGTTCCTGTCATCTGGGGTGAAAACGAATCGCAAACCGAGAAGAAAGGTTTCGGTGGTCCAAAAAAAGCAGCGGCATCTCTTCCTTCGGTTGGGGTAAGGCGTAAATAACTCGGGAACCGTCTTGCATCTTGATATAGAACTATAATTGATTACCGTTTGTTTATTTTCGTCGATGGTACTACGTGGATGACATCATCATAGGAGGATTTTGAGACCCGAGCTCAGTCTATAACTGCAAAATCAAAACTGAAATCCGAGATACGATTCAAGGCCGAGGTTGTATCATCCGGGGAGTGGGAAAGGTTAGTAATAATCTTGTTCGTCTTTAGATGCATGTTTAGCCAAAAACCAAACCAAACGAACCCAATATATTCCATCTGATGTGGAGTCCTGTAAGATCCCACATCAGTTGGGGAAAGGAACTAAGGTTGCCAACTGGATACCTTATAAGGAACCGGATACCTTATCTACCAGACGCGTCTTAAAACCGTGAGTCCAAGTGTGGACAAAGCGGACAATATCTGGTACGGTTAGTCTGGGATGTTACAAATGGTATCAGAGCCAGGAACCGAACTAGTGTGCCAGCGAGGACGTTGGGCTCCCAAGGGGGTGGGTTGTAAGATCCCACATCGGTTGGGGAGGGGAACTAAGGTTGCCTTGTAAAGGACTGGATACCTCCTCTACCAGGCACGTTTCAAAACCGTGAGTCCATGTGTGGACAAAACAGACAATATCTGGTACAGTCAGCCTTGGATGTTGCAATTTTCATGGTACATGGGGTTTTTATTAATTCTGGCTTCTTTGACCAAAACCGAGAAGGTGGATAAAGGAGCAACAAAAGTCCGAAGGAGTTACTCCCGGTGAAGACGTATATATTATACTTCGTCTGGATGGCCGAGTTCGAAGATCGGGGAGGGTCAGTACCCAATTTATTTTCGAGTAGATGAACTTCGCAACCGTTGTAGTTGGCTTTCGGGTATAAACAAACCATATTTTTTTGGGTTTTCATCAAAATCGATCGTTCTTGCAAACTACTGCGTTCTCGTGCATTTTCACAAGAAAAAAAAAGTGTCAGTTTTTACAACGAAAAGCCAAGTACGATGGTTCGTTTTAATTTTTATTTGTCGATCGGTTTGACTTTTGAAGTCAAAGGGCTAAATTTGTACTTATTTCTTATAGGGCTTGCCTGATTGGAACCAAATTGTGAAGGAATTGCCCCCACTTGAAGCATTGCTAAGCAAACTAGAAAGATGACCCAATTCTTCGTATGGTTAATTATGGTACAATATTACACGTTATGACGATTTTACCCTTTATTTGCTTTTTTGCTATGTATTATTATAAACAAATTTATTTTTAAATTAATAAATATTAACGTCGTTTTTGGGATATAAAATTTTATTTTTAAAACAAAAAAGAAAGAATCAAATACTTAATCTCCCTTTTTATGTACCCATGCCCTCTGTATGGCGACATGGGTGCGAAAAAAAGGAAAGAGATAAATGGGGTTTCTCTCGCTTTTGGCATAGTGGGCCCCCAGTGGGGGGATTGCACGACGGCTATTAGCTTAGTGGGTAGAGTGTGTCCTTGATAATTGCGTTGTTGTGGTTGGGCTGTGAAGGCTCTCAGCCACATGGATATTTCAATATGCGTTTGATTGGGGGCGTATGCGCTCATTTTATAGGCATGGTGTTCATTTTGTTGCTTTGGTTACCGACATGTGTGGAATATGTTTAACCAAATTTTATTAACAAAACGTAATTTTTAATACATTAGTGATTTATACTTGATGTTTTATAGTTTGTATTCTTGAAATTCAAGATTTTTAACGAGTTTGGCCTAAATATGTTCTAATACAGACATACAGTATACATATATTTACGTAAATCAGTTTCACCAAATTATTGGATTCGTACGCAAACTTGTGCATCAAGTATGCCATTTTACATTCTACTTTTGGCATCTTGATGTCCCAAATACAATGTAGTTCCTCACATCGTATTTCAGCCGTTGCTTTGGCATCGTGTGCTTGTTGAAAGATTGGTCCCTTGGATTCTTGCTTAAACCGAACCAATGTCACCCACTTGCCCATCTGTAACTATCGTGAATCTTCGAGTTTCGAAAGTAATATTTTTGGTCCCAATATCACTTCTTGTTGGTTAAGCTAAGAAAGATTTTGTAACCATTTGTGGGTTTGACATTCGGTGGGGAATGGAATATTTTAGTGTATCAAAATGGTCGTTAATTTAATTAAAATTTTATTTAAAGTTATCTATATTGTACTGTAAAGCATGACAAAAACTGTTAAAAACATTTTTTATGCATGAAGTATAATTTAATTATACATATTACTTATAATTCAAGATTACAAATAAATAATGCATAAGTACAATTATTGTATATTTTAAAACTGACTGTAACACACATGAAGTATTATTTAATGGAAGAGTCTGTTATAGAAAACTCAACTAATGATGGGTTTTCTGTAACGCACAATGAGCAACATTTGTATATAATGTTAAATCATAAATTACATGAAAAAGTAACGTACTTTAACTTGATTCATATTTTGGGTAACGTACTTTCAGAACCTCTATTTCCATTTTGGTATCTAAGAGGTAAAGTTTTAAATATTTAAGTACCCGAGTAACCGCTTGAAGTATTAACTCTTTCTTCTTATAAACCACAATACATAAAAACTAATTTTAGATTAAGATATCCATGTCAGCAAATAATACTGAGTTGTGAACCATATCCTTGGCCACATTAGCATGTTAACCGGTTAATGCTTCAACTGGTTACTCGGATACTTAAATATTTAAAACTTTACATTTTAGGTATCGAAATGAAAATTTTGAAAGTACATTACCCAAAATAAAAATTAAGTTAAAATACAGTTATTTTTCCATGCAATTTGCCCAATGTTAAATCCTCCGTAAGTTTATGTGAGTGATGACATATGTATATTACAATCCATATTTTCTCAATGCACCAAAACATTATTTATAATGAAACTCACAAATTACAGTTACAAGAAAGAAATAAGTTTTTCAAACTACAGATGAACAGAGTTGAACACGCATATTGAGCAGGCAATGGTGTCGAGGTTTTCAAAGCAAATGGGTAATAAGGGAAGATGACAATTCACAACATAGTTGTTACAGGTGACACCAATGGTATGGTTGGTACGAAAGGTTAATGATGATGGTCTTCATGTTTGGTCTTGGGCTTCTTCACGACCATCACGGTGCAGTGAGCGTGATGGGTCACATAGTCGCTAACACTCCCCAAAACCGCCCTGCAAAAAGCAGTGAATACCATGTTAAGATATTGTAACACCCCAAACCTAGATCTAATTACTTCATATAAAACGGGACAAGACATACGAGACTAAGGTATAGTTCTAATTTGAGTCGAGTAGTTTAGTAATTTATCAATCATTTTTCATATATCTGATTTTTGTTCCACCTATTTCTGTGAGACAAAAAAGGGAGTTTTTGTCATTCGGGCATTGTCATGTACCAGTCTTGATGTTGCAGCGAATTAAGAACAAGAATTTTTTTTTGCCTTGTTTGGCACACCAAAAAGCACCCTAATAAGATTAAAACCTATAAATTGACGTTACAATAATCTGTTATGACGAAATACTAACAAGTTCAACGAAGTTGATCAGTCTATCAGGACACAGTAAAATTTATCGTATTATTCGTCTTTTGATATGATATTTTTTAGTTTTTTCATGAAATTTATCGTACGAAAAAAAGACTAATAAGATGATTTACCTTTTTATTGCTCCATAACCATGGCTACCAACAACCAACATGATAGCATGGTGCCTCTCCACAGCATCACATAGAACGTTTCTAGCATCACCTTCAACAATTTCCAGTGATACATCGTTCACCTGCATATGTTGCATCATTCAAATTCGATAAACAATCATCATTCAAATTCAAATTTGATAACCAAATGATCACTCAAATTCAAATTCGATAACCAATCAATATTCAAATTCAAATTCGATAAGCAAATGATCATATATATAATTTTGATTCCAATTAATTCAAAAGTGGCATCGACGTCCGCAAATTGGACTAAGATCGAGCAAATTTCTCCCAATTTCATCAAATCAGAAGCCGGAAATCACAAACCGATTTAGAAAGGCAAAGCTCCTTCGCCCTATCGATCACTCGATTAGCGATGTTCTTCAAATCCGTATCCACATGCGATATGATATCCACACCTGCAAATTCTATCATATTCAGCAACAAATCGAACACAAACTCAGATCATTATCATCGGAAAATTAGGTTTAAGTTACCGGGAATCGCAAATCCCATGGAAGATGTAGGAGTAGGTTTGGAGTGAACGACGATTAGACTGAACGGCGGATTTGGAGCAGATGGTCCTAAGAAGTGATCCAGTGTCCACTCCAGTGCAAAAAAGCTCTGCTCGCTGTCGTCAACTCCGACGATCATCACCGGTTTTGCCGTTGCCGCCATTGTTGTTTGTGTGTTCACTGGAAGCAGTTGCTTACAAAATTCAGAAATCACAGTTTATATAGACGACGTAGGGGACAGTGGAAATCGTTTCGACGGAGAATTAACGCCGTTAGTTTCAGTAACTTGTTAACGTGCAAAAGTGTTAACGACAATTAACTTTGTTATATTTCTAATTTGGACACTAAAGTTTTAAAATGTTAAATGAATATTCAGATTTTTGTAAAAAAAATTCATTTTGTTTATTATTGAAAAAATTGGTATCATTTTTTTGTATTTAATCAAGACTAATAATAAAATCCATTTGGCAAAAAAGGCACACAGTTTTGAAAATGTGCAATTACTACCCTATTTAATTTACAAAATGACAATTTTAGGTAAACAGTAAGACATTTCTCTATCTGATAATTAAGGGTAGAACTGGAAAGTAGCATTTGTTTTTGAAAGTTGACATTTGTATCCCCACATGTTTTATGTATGTGTGTAGGATTGGGTTCTCGTGAGAGATATTACTTTTTATGAGACGGTGAAAGAAACTGTAAAGGTTCAGATACATATTGTGAATGTTCTGTGTGCTTCATGTGAAGGTTCCATTGTTTTTCATGTGAAAGTACAGAGTCGTGAAAAGGTTCAGTATTTTGCTGCCAGATAAAAACGCTTTCCCTTCCCCTTTGGGCTGGTTGTGGGCGAGGAGGGATTCTTATCCAAGGCTCTAAGTCGTTTCACGAGTCTCAGAAATACTGAGTTCTCTCACATGATCTGAAGTCTGTATGTACCAATATTATTGTATCCTTTAAAACTGACCGTGTTCATTGTTAGGTAAATATACAAAAAAAAACATGTAACATGTTGACGATGTTAAATATGTTCGAAAATTAACGACTCTAAAAAACTGAAGGGTTCCCAACGGATTTAAAGTCTAATGTTGCGTTTAAAAAAAAAAAGCACGTTGTTATTTATTGCAAGTTGTCATGATCTTCTATGATTTTATTTTCGACGTATTTTTCCTCAAAAGATATCTTTATAGGTAATGATAAGCACGTTGTATAATTGCAACAACGTCGTTGTAGACAAGTTGACGTTTCTTTTCTTTCCTCATTATTGTATCATTCTGATATTCTATTCAATGATTACATCCTCGTATATATTCATTATTGGATTTCAACACACTCGTCTTTGTCTAAATTCTGATATATTTTTTTTATTATAATCAATATTAAGAACAAAACTGATGATTCATAATATGACGAGTTATTTAGGTGTATAACCTTAAACATGGTTTTAATTAAATCCATGATCTCCTGAACTCTTAAAAGAAAATCAGTTTCATACTCATCAGAAGGTCACATATTTAATTAAACTCTCATTTATTACTGACACAACTTTTAAAATAAAACAGCTAGTAAACAATACAGTTTACTTTCGATCCATCTGAAACAAATGTGTAACAGTGTCAATTCAAAAATGACTCGTTATGCATGCGTTTTTGTTTCAGGGTTATGCATAACCGATCATTCGCTTTGTTTTATCATCTAATACGTCGAACTTATACGTAAATCTTGAATCTGTTCTTAGTTTTATCTGGGTTTCTGTCGATTCAAAGCGATAATAAGTTTAATTAACAGACTAATCAGATATATATATACTGTATTCGTTTTACGAAAAGATAAAACAATACGATAAGAAAGTCGATTAAAAGATGCTTGTTGGAGGCCAAAAGTAGGGTTAAGATTGGGATATAAAGAAGAGAAGATAGAATAGAAGGATGATGGTTTTGGTTCTTTTTATCATCTTCATAAAGACACTACTAATCTTTTTGAGTTGTGTCCCCTTCACATTCACTCCACTTGCTCAAATATCCATCTTTTGGGCTCAATTTGGGCCTTGGATCCAAAGTGTGTTATGTGTATAGGCCCAAATATAGGCCCAACCTGGCCCATGAAGATATTTGGATCAAGTTCTTAACCCAGCCCATGAAGATATTGAATCCATTTTCTTAACCCAACCCATTAAAGAATGAAAGTATATGATTGGATCTGAGGTCAATTTGGTGTTCTCGAGTTTTTCACAGGTCGTACGATTCGTTAGAAAAACGGGTTTATACAGTGATTTCTAATGAAAATAGGTGGGTCCAGATTAACTTGTTAAAATTAATGGACAAAGATGGTCGCTAAAAGGAAATTTGGACAGATCAATCGGGTTTGTTTATATTTTATAATTAATTAAAAGATTAAAATAAAACTACAAAAATGTGAATGTCTCTCATTTCTCATCCATCCATCTTCCCAATGTCCATATTCGATATTTTGTGAAATTATTTTTTCCTTACTTTATTTATACTGTTATATATTTACATCTTATTATAAGTTGAAAATATTACTATGTAAACTGTATTATTTTACATAACTTGTGATTTTATCTACAGTTTTTTTTTTATTACAAATTAAATGATTTTTAGGTCTGTTAGCATGTGGGCGAGCCTGCCCCATTTACAAGGCAGGTAAAGGCAAATAACCAAGCTCGTAAACAAGGCTTACGTTTGCTATAATAAGCCCACACGAACATAAAATTTGGGTTCGACGCAGTTCCAGCCAAACCAAAACCCTCAAATGATCACCTCTAATTTGGTTCAATTCAATAACCATTCAAGCTATTATAAATGGATGTAGTGGAAATCTCATCTTCCTCATGTTCGAATCGAATCTAGATGATGTCAAAATTCTTATCGCCATAGAGGTTCACCTGCAACGAGTCTAGACCATTTGTGGTCGTGTAAATGATTAATTGATGTGTATAAGCTGATCTGAAAGACACAGTAAAAAAAGTTCTGGTTTCTTTATACCATCTAAATAAAATATAAAATAAAAATAATATTTCCATAAAAACCCATCAACAACCCACTATTATTAAGTGATTGTAATGATGATATTAGACTTTTGAAATAAGCTATCCACAACCATCAAATATGTCATTATAATTTATACATTTCCACTAGAGGAGTAACTTGTTAAAAGGGAAGTGTTAATGGCACCCCTTATCGATAGTGGTGTTGAATAATTAAAAGGGGAGAATGGCATCCTTTTAACAGGGGGTGTTGAATGCTTGTAAATTGTGCGTCTTTAAAATCTATAAAACATCAAATCGATTTAATAATATATTATATTTAATTATCATTATTATTTAATATATATATATATATATATATTAATCAAGTTAAATCATATAAATATATGTATATATATACTCTCCATGTATATTTTATAGATATTG